TCAGTGAAACTAGCTTTACGCCTGATTTGCTACTGCTGTAAAGCGTAAATCCAGCAATTCCGGCAAGCTTTCTAACACCTTTCGAAAATACCAGTAAACAAAGTTAATCAGTGAAAGGACCCACCTCAATGTTCTCGTTGTCAACAGCGATCTCCAACGCTGGCTGATCGGCCCATTCGAGGAGTCAGACAGTTAACATTGAAGGGGCCGTTTCGCCCTCTTTCTGAACAAAAATAATGCTTTACCAAAAGGCTGTGCGCTACCAAAATTATGTTGAGGAAGTAAACAGTCAATAAGAAGAACAAAAATAACATTAAAAATAGCAACAGATCGACCTCTTCCCCCAATTCCCCTCTAAACGGACCGCCCCCCCCCTTATTGGGACAGTTTTTCCTATTTCACACTGGGTATATACCCCCTCCCTCCTCTTCTCGTCCCTCCCCCCACTCGACGGAAAATGCTTGGCTCTAAAAGCCGGAATTTGGGGAAAAAATGGAAAGAGTGGTAGAAAGTTGGGAAAATCTAGGAATGTGGTGGGTAGCATGGGTAAGGGGGTCGTATTTGAGAATGCAATTGGGGGGGTCGTATTTTTTTCGGAAGTGATGACAACGCGATGGCGTGCCCTAGCCACCAAGCCCGCGAGTTGTAGTGAAGGAATGTGTAGTATTTAGACTCTTTAAGAGCCATGCGGCAAAGAATAGTGGAAGTTAGAGGAAAATTCATGGTTCAAAATTCAAAAATTTTCCTTTTTTCTTAGGGACATATAATTCAAAGAAAAGCCTCCAGGCTAGACGAAAGGAAACGTTGAGGCAGGGTGTTTGTTTACTTCGTTAACAGAGCTGGCCTGAAGTGCCGAGTTTTTAGAGGAGCAAATCGCAGGCAACATCCCAGGAATCTATCCTCTCAGAGCAGTGTGCAAGAAGAGCAGAAGGGCTACTCTCAGTAGAGGAAGAATTTTCAGTTAAAGTCAATGAAACTAGCTTTAACGCCTGATTTGCTACTTACTGGGCTGTAAAGCGTAAATCCGGCAATTCCGGCAAGCTTTCTAACACCTTTCGAAAATACCAGTAAACAAAGTTAATCAATGAAAGGACCCACCTCGATGTTCTCGTTGTCAACAGCGATCTCCAACGCTGATCGGCCCATCGAGTCAAGGCAATTAACATTTAATGGCGTTTCGCCCTCTTTCTGAACAAAAATAATGCTTTACCAAAAGGCTGTGCGCTACCAAAATTATGTTGAGGAAGTAAACAGTCAATAAGAAGAACAAAAATAACATTAAAAATAGCAACAGATCGATCTCTTCCCCCAATTTCCTCTAATACGACCCCCCCCCCTTCCGCCACCAACCGCGAACGAGCAAAAACGATCTCCTCCAAAATATCTCAGCGTTGTGGAAAGCGCGCCTAAAACGGGAAAATGAACTGATAAAGTACGACCCCCTCCTCCCTCCAGCGATCAAATAGGCCCCTCCGACGCCATACATTACCACTAACTGAGGCCATCCTGGGCCCGCATCTTCTATGCCATCCTGAACCCTCAACAGTTTGGGGAAAGGCTGCCCTGGCTTTGTTTCAATCCACACCCACCTCCTTCGCATGCACTCTCTCTTCATGAATGACCATACCTCTTTACAGGTAACGTACTAGACCGCGTTACAGCGCCCTCACTTCTTTTTATCTTTTGATGGTCACTCCTAGGTTTGCCCCCCCCCCCCCCCACTGCTCCTCCCATAAATCCCGATGCGCCCCTTCTTGTAGAAAGCAAAAACATTGTAGCCGCTGCAGAACGAGAACGAAAGAAGTGAATGATGGAAAAAGAACTGAAATTAGGAAAAATCAGAAGCAGAAAGACTTTAAGGGCTAAAACTACCGTGAGAAGGCATTCCTGTAGGGTTGGCTTGTCACCTCTTTCGGCTGCCTCGAGAAATCTGTAAAAAGTGATGCTCGAGAGCTGACTTCTAGTGAGGTAGTGAGGTTAGTAAATTAGTGTCATAAGAGAAGTTCATACTGTCGTTCCTGTGGCGAAATCTGGTCATGTGTCCGTATATTGACAGCCGGAGGCGGTGGCATGTTGCCAAGTGTGTAGTTACGCATTCGCGGCCGTGGCGACACAGAGACGCGCGACAATCGTCGCCCGGCCGTCGTGAGCATTCTGAAAAAGCGAAAAGTCAGTGAGGATTTTGTAATAGCATCAGACCTACATTCGTTGGAAAGCGCAGTCCATGTTAGCCTTCTGGGCGGAGTCAGACCTGCTTTTGCGCTTTCTACAGTGGTGTCCCTGCTCTTTCCCGTATTAACAGAAGCGGTGAATAATGAAGGTACAGTAGTGTACCTGACTCCGCCCACACATCATCCTGGACTGCGCATTCAAACGCTGTTGGCGGATGTTGGCGGATGGGTCGTTGTGGGATGGAATAGTCAGGGTTCGAATATGGTCACAGGGTTTTGAGGGATGTTCTATTAGCGGGATTCAACACAAGAATTCCACGAAAAGGGAAGAGTTGTTTTGGAGAACCTGTCAGACTCTTGCACGACATGGCGTCTGTCATTCATTTTCAAATCCTTCAGTTTTTTTTTTCGAATTTTGAAACATTGAAAGGCAGGCTTACGCAGCAATTCTCTTGCCTTTGATAAAGTCTTGCACGAAATCACGAAGTTTTTGGTCCATATATTATCCTTTAATCTGGCCCTTCACGCAATGGCCCTCTCCATGTCTTCCAAGCTGCTGATTAGGCTAGGATAGGAATGAAGCGGTACCGCGGCACAGCAACAGGGGGAGAGTTTCAATTCAAGACAACACAGCACTTCCCCCCTTCCTTCAAAATCTGTCAACAGCAAAAAGGAAGAGGGGAGGGGTGTGACTGACACTGCCATATCAACTATCGGAAACAGTGATCTACCAACGGCCCACCAGCTAGGAGATCCAACGAACAGGTGTGACCGCCACCTCTCGAATTGGAGATCCCAATGGCGATGTACGATGGGCGGAGTTGCTTCTCTGCTTTGTACACTTGGCCTTTTACTCGAAACTGTTGACTGAGGCTTTCCCAGGGCATGTGCCAAGTGTGCAAAATAGTGAAAGTGTGGAGTAGTACAATTGGAATGCCCTCTTCAGAGCCCTCTTAACCTTCTATACCCCGTAAAGTTTCGATCCTCTGGAGTTGAATCCTCAAAAGTTCTACATAAATAAACTCCATATAATGGATAAGTTCTCAATGGAGCTCCTGCAAACCAGCTCTGCTTTACTTCTGAAGTAAGAATAAATTGTAAATGTGGAAGACATCCTGCACCAGCTCCTTTGATCCCTACGCGCATTCTTTTTCGAAATCGTCTTTTTCGAAAATGAGGTCCACTTCTTGGAGTTAACTCGTACTGAGAAAATGAGAAACTGTTCGAAAGGTTGGCTATAATCCTACTCGCATTAAAGTGAATGACTTCACTTTGTCAAATTGGCTCGAAATTCGGTCGCAAGTAACGCACAGACTTTCCTTCCAAACCTATAAAACAGAATAAACTGACAAAAATCTGCAACTCCTTGAGCACTGCCGATTCAGAGGCCGTTACCAAGATAAATTTAATTGACGTGTGAGAACGATAATGGGGTGAGGGCTTAATGTGTAGTATGCAAAAAGCGAGGACAGAAAAAGAATGAGCTATCATCAAGCTAACATGTCCTCAGTGGAAGTTTTAGCGCCATCCCGTCATATATAGTATGGCCTTGAGAAAAGGGAGACAATATCCCAATCCTCCCTCTTCCCGCCCCCCCCCCCCCATCAGATATGAATTTCTACTTCAATTCGATTTTTTTTGAAACTTAGAGGTTTTTCGATGAATTTAGTTTGACAAGGCTCTGTTTGAGAATGACCAAAAGAAGACCTCATCAATTCACCAATCTTAAGAAGAGAACGATGGAAAGAAAGTGAAATCAAATCAATCTTATGTATTTTTTGAAGTGTTTATTGAATTGATTTTATTTATTTAACTGTATTATTTATTTATCCAAATGCATCCACCCAATAAGGATGAGCACATTTATCTTGCAAAATGACTACAATTGAAAAACCGGTAAAAGAGATTTTTAGCAAGATGCAGCTTTAAACACTGATTTTTGTGAAAAGTTCAAAAATAATTGGAAAGGTAAATTGGTTAACAAGAATTGGTGAAAGAATTCAATCATGATATTTTAGGTTTAAAATTGTTCTAAGAAGGCGTGGTAGGGCCTAAAATCAAATCTGCTGCACCTCATTGCCCTCGGTCCTGCCTTCATACGAAATCTAAGCAGATAAATGGTTAGCGTAGTATCGCTGAGAACCTGGATAATATCATTAGCCTGGATTTCAGGGCACAAAAGGTGCTGACGTTGAAGTTTCGAGTAGTTATATCAGATCAGAGGTAAATATTGGACTCTCTCACCTAACCCCCCCCTCCCTTCGCCCCTGCCTCTTCCAAACCCTGCCTCTCGATTATTCGCTAGTGAAAAACAGTTTTCTCCAACCAAACTCTGATTTTCGCCCAGTCATCGACTATCTATGGTTTTCCCTCCCGACTATGTCGTCTTATTTAGAATTCAATAAAGAAATGTAAACAGAAATCCCCTGTATACATGTGAGAAGAAGCTCGAATATCATTTCCACCAGTAAAAAGACAAAATAGGTGGAAGTGCTGCCTTCAAAGGCTTGCTGAAGAGTGAGATCTCTGTAGGTGAAGGGTGCAACCCATGTAGGTAAGATGTAAGAGAGACGTGTCTTAATAAATTGCTCGGACGCGTCATGCATACGAATCGTTCTCGAAATTAGAAGGTTTTTATCCTTGAGAGAACCAGCAGATAAAAAAATAAGTTTCTACTTTTCGAGAAGTTTAGCAGCGTGCCAGAACCGAGCGGACGGCACGTGCCATGCGCTGTCTGAATTGAATCATTTATAATAAGGAGGGGCGAAGTCCTGGCGGGTGAAGCATCCATCAGATGGCGGTGTTTGTTAGGAATTTATTTAAGTGTGGGAAATTTCTTGCGCACTTCCTATGTCTATTATTACAACATGGTTCTCAGGTTCCCTCCTCAATCTGTGAAAGAAGTGAGGCGAATGGGAGGGGAAAGGGTGTGGGAAAGAGAGGTCAATCTGTCAATTCCGTTAGTTTAACACTATACAATAATAGAGATAATACATAGATAATACATATGTCTCATATTGCACAAAAGATGATACCTTGGCAACAGCGTTTGTTCAGGGTTACAAAAAGTCAATTTAGGACCAGATGTTGTCTATTCATGAACTGGTTTCGCTTATTAATAGCGCAAAGATTCCCGGGCGTAATGTGCAATACCCCTAGTCTCGGGAAAGGGGGTATACCCAGCGCTTGTCAGTGAAATGTCAGGAAGATGGGTGAAATGGAAGCGTCACTATGACTCCCCCCACCCCTCTCCTCCATCCACAAAACGCTCACCATCTTACAAATTTCTTCTCGCAAAATTTCTACCACTAGCGAAAGGAGGCGGTCGATCACGGGAATAGAAACATATGTCGCGTAGCGGAAAGGCAGGGAAAGGGATTCGATATTTGGGAGAAGTGAAAGCATGTAGGCGAATCTGCTGTGAATAAAAACCGAAAAATTCCTGTGAAGAACCAAGTCTACCCTCAAGCGTACAGCGACCAATACGACCCTCCCCCCTAACTCCCCTATAGGTTTGCAATAAAGATGTTGCCTGCAGCGCTACCATTGCAAACAAACGCTACTCATCAGCCCTTGACACTTTGATGATTACCATTGGCTTCACTATGATATGCGGCCACTTAGCAGGACACCTACCCGCGGTGGAGAAATCTCACAGGTGTTCATATGGGTTAGTGGGGGGGGGGTCTGCATCACATGAGGAACAATTACGAGAGGATAAGTAAATCAGCTGCCTCGGTGCAGTAAAACTATCCCACGGTGGGGATGTTCTTCCCCTGGGAAATGGCAAGTAAGGGTAAGTCAAGGTGTAGTTGGGAACTTTGGACCCAGGGTTCGTCGTCTCTGTATATTTTTTGCGCTCAATAATTGGAGCCACGGGCCACGTGGGTACATTGTGATGTTTAGTCATTGCACTACGTGACCTTCTTGGGACTACATTATAAAATTTATTAAATAATAAACTTAATGGAGTGAATGAACTTTGGCCGTAATGAGCTAGTAGAACTACAGAATGAACCAATCTCAATAATAAGCCGTCGGTAGCACCAACTCGAAGTTGTCTGTAAAGTGCCCTAATTCTTAGTCATGCGGTACCTCAGTCTAAACTTACTTTAACTCCCCCTCCGCTCCGTCCACCTTCTATTTTTATGAAGTTAGTGGATAGGATGGTTGTGGACCACTGGTGAGTGAAGCCGTTCGGAAAAAGCTCAGGTCAAGCTTTGGAGCAAAGTTCTCCCATTTCCGTCAATCGGCCCCTCCAAATATCCTCTGCCGGTAAATTGCCACCAGAGCCGTCTGCATGAATAAAAACAAAAGTTTTTTAATCGGCTAGCCCCCGCAAGTCATTGTTATGGGCTCAGTAGGCATTCAAAAGCCTCTAAAGCTCTGAATGGGACTTCAAAGCGTGGAAGTATCGCAAAAAAGGGCTAACAAATGCAGTGCACTTCATCACGTCGGAGCAGAGATTAGCTAAGTGGGATCATTTTTATACCCGAAATGATGCTTTTGGGGCTCGCTGAATACCTGGAGAGTCTCAAGCGGGCTTACCGACGTTCTTCAAGAGACTGTCCACGTGAAATCT